TACGTGATGCCACCTCCAAGAAATCCATTTCGACCGAAAAGACATGCCTCTTCGGATGGAACCTGAGAAGCTCTTTCATCTGCTAAGGTCGTATCAACCAGCTTGGGCCATTGCTAGCGTCCTGCTTACCCGAGGTACACGAAAGCCAATCGGAATAGGTGTAGAACCGGAACTTGATTCCTAGCATTTGGGGGGAGGTCCAATGTTGCAATATTCACGTCAGCATGATTGAGTATACACCTGGCGTATCTGCAGCAGTATGTGCAAGGCAAACGTCGTCGTGTCTTCGTCTTGCCTATACGCAGGAAAGGAAACAACCGTTTGAAAACTTTTTGTTTGTTAATTGTCAGAAAACATGTTCGTCCATTTCTTTTCTTAATGTTGCAATTGCCTTCTTCGAAGACTCAGAATTCAGAACACACACCATCCAGGCTCTATTCCAACATGAAAGTAATGAGTAGACTATGCGTCGCGGGTGAATGACAATCTTAACGACAGAATCATCTTTAAAAAAACGCATCGATGCCTGGCTCACCTCAAGGTGGAGGCCGCAAAGGCTGTTCCGGCCAAGGCGAAATGGCAGAGCCAGCTGCACCTGGTGCAAGAGACAGGCCATGGATGCTTCAATGGCTTCCATTGGTCTCGTCTCCACATTTTGGGTATGCCACCGCGTATGATTGGGAAGTACAAATGAAAAACCTGGTCTTAGGCCTAGGCTGTGAGAGGGGTGAGGTACTTCGAGGCTGTAGAACATCTGCAATTTTTTTCAGGAAAATCTGTGGCCATTATTTTCCGGCTTCAAGCTTTCCTACCCCATGTCTTGTTCTTCTTCTTGCCACGATCTGCTATACTAGTGGCACGCGAGATCGTGGCAAAGGCCTTCAAAGGGCCGAAAATGACTCCATGGACTTGGTCTGGGCACTTGAGATTTGGGCTTGCTACGGCCTGCCAAAGTGACGCAGGTGAGGTCGCGGTTCGTGATCTGCAACTCCGGCTGGCGGCTCTGAAGCCCGCGGATCATCTCCCAGGAAAGGTAGGCTGTGCCAATGGAGTGAAAGAACCTGTTGTGCGTTGCGCCTGGAAAGACCCATTCACAGATTCCCAGCTGCTTAATGAAGCGCATGCGCTGAAACTCCATGGAGTCCACGAAAAGCTTCACCTCGGGCGATCGCAAGCGCAGCCGGAAGCTAACCCCCTCCCCCCAAACAAAAACTCAAAAAAAAACAAATCAGGCTGTCTCTGCTAGAGTATGCTCGATGAGATCCCAGCTGCGACCCCAGGCAAGCAGATCAAACCGTGGATTGGATCATTCACGTAAAACGTTTCCTGCACATCACGGGCACATATGGAGAACTGGATAGTCTTCTACGGGGAAGCAAAGTGCTCGATGCAATCGT